AGTGGAACTGTGGCTCCAAAGTGGTAGAGTTGCTAGTCTTGAGCAGAAAAGCTCAGGGACAGCACCCAAGCCGTGAGTTCAAGCCCTAGGAACCAGGCAAAAAAAACCCCAAAAGGCAGAAAACAATAATGATAATAATATTGTTCTGCAGAGAGCTTCCCCGCTACTATCATCAAAGTTCATCTTTGGGGTAAGGACTGATTATCTTTAACTCACACATGCTTTGCATAAAATGATCTCTTTGGGTGTGGGTGTTGATGGTGTAGCTCCCAAAGTCACACTGTATCAGTTGCCTATATTTGGTTAGGTTGAGTCATGTCACCAAAAATAGCCCTTGCCTTCTGCCAGATGCATGCCAGGCTTCTGCCTCCCAGTGCCACAGCTGGCCTCCGGAGACGACGGCTTTCCTCGTCACTGTGGCCTTAAGAGCAGTTCTGCTGATCAAACTGTCCCCCGTGTGTGCTTATAACACACTCAGTACCCACAGTCTTTAGAGACTGAATTTTACCCACCAAATAGGGCCCTGTGCCTGAACTGCTTAATGCCTTCCGTTCCAGTAATGAGCTAACCAAACCTGGCTGTGTTTATAGATAGATGCCTTATCAACGCCAACCAGCCAACCCAAACCACTGGCTCTGTTCTGTTCCTTTTTCTCCACTATTTTTATTTTCCTGTCCTTGACTCATTTGTGGAATGCTTATGTTTCAAGTTTAGGGGAATAAACTCATTGACTGTGTGCCTGGTAGCCAAACAGGAAACTGCAAATGGCTAAGTAGGGAAAGTTTTACTCCCTAAGGGGGTTTATTATGTACAAGAGATAAGGGTAAGCTGGTAGCCGAAGGAATTACATAAGCAGGCTGCTGTGAAGTGGAACTAAAATCAGGCATGTTCATTGAAAAAGAGATTTCCATTTTGAAAAGGGTATCCTGGGGAAAAAAAAAAAAAAGGTGACCTGGAAAAAAATTGTAAACAACTTCATAAAAGTTACATTCATCACTGGGCGCCGGTGGCTCACGCTTATAATCAATCCTAGCTACTCAGGATGGTGAGCTATGAGGATCCTGGTTTGAAGCCAGCCTGGGCAGTAAAGTCCATAAGAATTTTATCTCCAGTGAAACAGCCAAAAAGCCAGAAGTAGTGCTTTATGTCAGCTTTACTCATAATGGCCCAAACATGGAAGCAACCAAGATGCACAGATACCTAAACAAGCAAGCTATGGGTCTGTCCAGACAATGGAATGTTGTTCAGTGCTCAAAAGAACTGCGTAAACCAACCCACATAAAGAACACACAGGAAAGATGCGCTAGGAAGAGAAAGAAGCCTGTCTGCAAAGGCTTGCCTCTGTGGTTTCACCGACATGACATTTCTAAGAAAGACACAACGATCGAGTCAGCAAAACTAGCAAGGGTTAGAGGGTTAGCTTTAGCACTTTACCAGCCAGCTAGTTTATTTTCTTTCGGGATTTTCACTGTGAAGTATTTTGATCACTCCTCAGCATCAAATAAGTGACATGCAGGTCATATAGAACAGCTTTGGTTTCAAGGGAATATTAGCATTAAAAAAAAAAAGAAATTATCTCTGTAGAAATGAACTTCAGACAATATAATTTTGCACCTTTGTGTCTGTATTGACTTATATTGTATTTTAAGTCATTTCAGGTAAAGTTTTTTTTCTTTTTTCTTTGTTTTTCTGTTTGTTTTCGGTTGGTCTTGAACTCAGAGATGGGGAGCTATCCCTGAGCTTTTTTGCTCAAGGCTAGTACATTACCACTTGAGCCATTGCTTCACGTCTCCCTTTTTTGTGGTAAATTAGAGATTAGAGTCTCATGGACTTCCCTTGCCCCAGATGGCTTTAAACCGCCATTGTCATAGTTTAACCTCCCAAGTAGCTAGGATTACTGGTGTGAGCCACCAGTGCCTGGCATGGTAAAGTGTGTGTTTGGTTTTTGTTTGCTTGTTTTGTTTTTTGTTTTTTGGTGCCAGTCCTGGGGCTTGAACTCAGGGTTTAGTTACTGTCCCTGAGCTCAAGGCTAGCACACTCCTACTTGAGCTTCAGTGCCACTTCCAGCCTTTTCTGAGTACTTTTATTGGAGATAAGTTTGGGCGGGCTTTGAACTACAATCCTCAGATCTCAGCCTTCTTAGCAGCTAGGATGGCAGGCGTGAGCCACCAGCACCCGACTGGTAAAGTATTTTTTGATAGCTCTTGCTTGTTCATTTACTAGAGAGTTTTACAGCTACAAGATTTATACATATTCTATTACCAAAAGTCAGCTGTTACTTTGAGTTAAGTGATTCAGAAGTAGGATCTTCCTTGCAAGTGGGTTAAAAAAAAAAAACAATTAAAGCCATCTTCTTGTTCCTTGTATCTCAAATCTCTTACACACACACACACACACACACACACACACACACACACCACTTATGAGCCAGGCACTGGTGGATCACGCCTGTCATCCTGGCTACTCAGGAGGCTGAGATCTGATTGGAAGCCAGTCCAGGCAGGAAAGTCCATGAATCTCTTCTCTTCAGCTAACTACCAAAAAGCCAGAAGTAGAGCTGTGGCTCAAGTGGTAGAGGGCTAGCCTTGAGCACAACAGCTCAGAGACAGCACCCCGGCCCAGAGTTCAGGCCCCAGGACCAGCACCAAAACACAAAACAAAATATACACAACTTGTGATAAGTATGGCTGTAGGTAAAGCAGTTGAAATTCAATTTAGTAGATTTGGATATTTCTCTATACATTGGCACTTGAGAATGAAACCAAGTTTTTGGAAGAAATGGAAATGAAACGATCAAAGTTAAGTTTTACCTTCTTCTCCCATTTTTCCATCCCTGCCTTCATTTTCTACTAAAAATAAGCTGAAGTTTTCAGTGGAACAACTAATTTTAGGATAAAACTTTGTGTGTGTGTGTGTGTGTGTGTGTGTATGTGTGTGTGTGTGTGAGTGAGTCCTGGGGCTTGAACTTGGGGCCTGTGCGCTGCCCCTGAGTCTCTTTGTGCTCAAGGCTAGCGCTCTACCACTTGAGCCACAACGTCACTTCTGGGTTTTTTGAGTAGTTTATTGGAGATGAGCATCTCACAGGGGTTTTTCTGCCCTTGGTGGCTTCTAACCATGATCCACCGATCTCAGCCTCCTGAGTAGCTAGGATGACAGGAGTGAGTCACCAATGCCTGGCTTTCCTGACCTTTTTTTAAACTCAAAGTTAGCGCTCTATCCCTTGAGCCACAGCTCCACTTAGGAGTTTTGGTAGTTAATTGGAGATAGGCGTCTCATGGGCTTTCCTGCCCAGGCTGGCTTTGAACCGTGGTCCTCAAATCTCAGCCTCCTGAGTAGCTAGGATGACAGATGTGTGCCACTAGCTCCTGGTTCTTGAAACTTTCTTATTTGTTTATAAACTAAGAAAATCATTAAGTTCTGGTTCTTTTTCATATTAAATTCCAAATATTGGCCGTGGCTATGGACAAAACTTGCTGATAGTCAAGGATAGTTTTCTATCTTAATAGTATTGCGCCCCCTCTTCCCCCCCCCCCCCCCCCCCCCCCCCCCGTGGAATCTCAAAAGACATTGGAGCTCTCCAGTTCCTTTCTTTCTGAAGAGCTGTTCCCTTGTTGGGTTGGTGGGCCACATGTAAACTCTGGGTTCCAGAATATTCGATGAATTAAGTAAAGTCTTGCTGATGTCTGGCAAGGCCTGTCCAGCCTTAAGGCTTGGGAGAGTCTCTGCTTATCTGATTTCTAGAGTTAAGGTTCCATGAGATCAGAGTTCAGAGTGTTTTCCTAAAAAGTGGGTGTCGTCCTGAGAATCAGCCACCACATTTTCCACTCCATTCCTTTAATGAACAACATGGCGCGTTGAGGGTTCTGCTTCATTCTCCCGCAAGGGGGTGGGGGACAGATGGACCCTGTGGGGTGTGGAGATGGGCTAATTTTTATTTTGTAACTTGAAGAGTACATTGTATGTCTTAAATATGTATGTATGATCTAGCTAGCTCAACTTACACATGGAGGTTCTTGTAAAACAACTTTTGCAAGACAGACAGCCCATTGCTTTCTCTCCTAGTTATGAACAGTGGTAGCATTTTAACAAATTATTACTGCGTATATGAGTGTGTGTGTGCACACATGCACACGTCCTTGGGCTTGAACTCAGGGTCTGGGTGCTTGCTATCTCTGAGCTTCTTTTGCTCAGGGCTGGTGCTTTCCCCTTGAGCCTCAGCTCTACTTTTGGCTTTTTGGTGGTTCATTGGAGATAAGAATCTCAAGGACTTCCCTGCCCAGGCTGGCTTTGAACCACTACCCTCAGATCTCATCCTTCTGAGTAGCTAGGATGACAGCCAGGAGCCATTGACTCCCAGCTTACAAATACTTTTTGAAGGGCATCTTGGGCGACGATTGTGGATTAAAAATATTTGCCAAGAGTCTACGGTGCTCTTGAGTATGAGGTTGGGGACTTCAGGCATTTTCCATCATATGTGATATGAAATGTTCTTTACCCTCAATTGTCACTGGCCTAAACCTTCACTGAAGCCCATGCGTGGACAGACCTGTGGGCACAGACATGGCAGTTTTCTTACTTGGCATCTAAGAAAATATTACTGCTTGTTACATACTTTGGTAAAAGGAACAAAACCCATCACCAACAAATTAGTTGGTATTTATGGGACAAAAACCCCAAAGATGGTTGCTGTGTGGTGGTGTCAGAATGTAAATGGTAGAAATGGGTGGGCTTTTGCAAACTAGAATGACTTAGTCATTAAAAGAGGGATATTTTCTTTAACTACCCGCAAATGTCTCCCTTTTAAGTTTTGGTGAGCATGTTCAATGCATATTTTCCTGCAAATCGCCATGTCCACAACCAAGTTTTGTCCTGTTTAAGTACAGCGTGTTTAAGTACAATTTATTGCCTGTTCAAAGCAATCAATTCAGCTGTGTTATTGAGTAATTTTAAAACCATCTGTGAAAGCAACAAATTTAGTAACGGCCTTCTTTTACCTTCAGGTCGTGTAAACTATTCATACCCAGGATCCGATAGTTCTCTGCTTATTAATGGTAAGTGATAATTAATTTACCTCAGTGAAGTGCACAGAACTTGGAGTCAATTTAGAGCTAGGGGAGGAAAAAAATCGAGTTGTTGCTTCCACAAGTAGAGAAGTGACTTTTGTTTACCTTGTAAAATAACACTCGCGGGCTGGGAAGGTGGCTCAGTGGTAGAGCGCTTGCCTTGCATGCCTGAGGCCCTGGGTTTGATTCCTCAGCACCACATAAGCAAAAAGAAAAAAGCCGGAAGTGGCGCTGTGGCTCAAGTGGTAGAGTGCTAGCCTTGAGCTGAAGAGCTGAGGGACAGCGCCCAGGCCCAGAGTTCAGGCCCCATGACCGGACCCAAAAAAAAAAAATAACACTTGCTATTAATCAGCTATTTTCAGAGTCATTCCCCAAACATTATGACAAAAACTTTTTAGGAAATAGAATTGGTCTTGTGGAATTGTAACCCCTTTGGACAACTACTTAATAAGAATAAGAATAAGAAAAAGAATAAGAATTGAGGAGCCAATCGTTTACCAGTCGGTTCCAGTGGGATTAAGTGAGAATCTTCAGGACGAAAATGGACTTCATGGGACATTTGTTCCTGGCAACCTTTAAAATGTCACCATGAAGGCCTCTTCTCCATGTAGCTGGGAGAAATGGGCCACAAGGGGAAGGTTAGTCCAAGCTTTCAAACCAGAAAGAGGCAGCCCAAGACCACAGGCATGTGACCTTGCAAAGGACAAGGTCTTTCAGTGTTGCTATCAAAGGGGACTCAGGGAAAGAATCTACACGATTCTCCTTACCTCATGTGCTGATAGGTTCTGGTTGTAGACAAGCTCAGGTTCGCAGGGAAAGGGCCGGGGCTTTTGCTCCCCCAAAGAGTTTGTAGGTGTATCACAGCTTCCAAGGACCGAGTGGAGTCTCTTAAGTCTTTCTTGCTTCTTATTTACTATTGGATGCTCTATTTCAAGTTTCTGCCTTGACCATGCTTTCTTTCTAGCAAAACCTCTTAAAGATCCTTGATGAAAGTTGTCATTGTTGTCATTGTCCCTCAACGCACAAACCTAGTCTACAGTCTGTGGGAAGATGAGCTTTGTGACCAGGCTTCCTTTGGGGTACTGTCTAAATCTGGGTGCTGTGAGACTTAAGCCTGAACTGAATGGTTAGATGCAAGCTGGATTGCCAAGCGTTTTGTCAAGGCTGAGCAGTTCATCAAAAACCCCCTCTTCATCAGACTTGGGTGTTTTCACACCATGGTGCTAGGAATGATGCCACCCTCCGCCTAATACACAATTGTGCCATGTAAACTATTCCAGCAGAAATAACAATCATAATGATGCCAGGCTATAACATTTCACGGTAACAGTGTAGGCCAGGGGCTGGAGGCCTGGCTTCCCTGGTAAGAGCAGTGGCTAAGGAGCAAAAGCAACAGGTATGGAGTTTGAGTCCCAGTCTTGGATCTAAAAACAGAAGTTTATAGGCCCAAAGCAGTCCCCAGCAGTGAGAGAGGACAATGTGGCAGAGTTGACCTCGATTTGGGAGCATTAGAGCCAGACTCAGGTTTAGGTTCAGTGATTGAAGACAGTGAGTACTCCCACCCAGGCAAAATGATCAGCTCTTCTTTGTTCAGGTGGATCAGTTGCTACTTCTGTGCTGGTCCTTGTTGCCATGAGAAAAACCTATCTACTAGAGTTTCCTTAAAGCTAAAGCCACTTCATTGAAAGAAGTCTGTTATATAGGAGATTGCCTTTCTGGTTTTCTCTATTAATATCTTTCTTTTGTGAACTTATTAAACAGCTTTGACTTAGCAAAGGTACTGGGGCTTGAACCCAGGGCACTGTCCTTTAGCTTTTTCACTCAAGGCTGGTACTCTACTGCTTGAACAATAGTTTCTACTTCCAGCTTTTTGCTGGCTAACTGGACATAACTGTTCCGTGGACTTTTCTGCTGTGTCTGGCTTTGAACTGTGATTCTCAGAACTCAGTCTCCTGCATAGTTAGGATTACAAATATGAGTCATCAGCACCTAACCATCTATTTATGTTTTAGTTTTACTTATCTTCAAACTGTAGAAGTAGGCATAATGATCTGCCTTTTTACTGTTGCTTACACAGACATTTTACATGTGACAAAGATACTCTGTCAGAAGTTAACATTTTCTCAAACCAGAAGACATGAAGATAAAGAAATGGGGGTGGGGGGTGGAGATGGAAAGCAGCAAAAGCTTCCAGGCAGATTCAGGAGTGTGAAGTCTTTTTTTTTTTTTTTTTAATCAGTTGTGGGGCTTGAACTCAGGGCCTGGGTGCTGTCCCTGAGCTTCTTTGTGCTCTGTGCCACTTCTGGCTTTTGAATGGGTTATTGGAGATAGCGTCTCCCCGGGACTTTCTGCTGGGGCTGGCTCCGAACCTTGATCTTCAGATCTCAGCCTCTTGAGTAGTTAGGATGACAGGTGTGAGCCACCGGCACCTGGCTGAGTATAAAATCTTAATTGACATAGTCTCAGGTCTAGTATCAAGCTGCACAGGTACCCAAACTTGATTTCATCAGATATGGTCGTGTGTGTGTGTGTGTGTGTGTGTGTGTGTGTGTGTGTGTGTGTGTGTGTGTGTTTAAATAACAAACCATCTAGGGCCAGATGCCAGTTTATTCATTTATAAATGAAGAATGAACCTTGTAGGTAGATTAGATGTTGAAATTGAATGACAAATCCATTCTCTCTCCAGTGGAGAAGATCTAGAATAGATTTGATGCTTGCATACTCAGTCAGTAGGGGAGAAGGGCACTGACACCATTCCTCTATCACCTGATTTAGAAATAGGTTCTGCCCACTCTCTCAGTCCTATTTATAAAGTAACCTCAAGAGAACCACATCTAAGGGCCAGTGACTCACACCTGTCACGCTCCCTTGCTCTTCAGGACATTGAGATACAGAGCATGGTGTCATGAAGTCAGCCCAGCTATAAAAGTCTGCTAGATATTCCATTTCCAAAATGGTCAGCAAAAAGCTGGCCTGGAGGTGTGGCTCAAGAGTGGAGCACCAACATAGATTTTTAGAGGTAGTTACATGAAACTCTAGTGTATGAATTTATTGCTTTTAATGAAGACAGACTGAATGACTGTATCACACTTAATGAAGACAGACTCAAGACACACACACACACACACACACACACACACACACACACACACACACACACACACACACACACACACACACACACACCTTCCTTCTCCGAGGATTATATTGGAGATTAAATGTATGTGGTTTGAGCCCAACTCCAGAAGGTGGGTGGTTTCTTTTGGGCATGATGTGTGTGTGTGTGGGGAGCTAGGAATATTAGTGCTTAATGGTTTACAAAAGAAGAAATAAATGACAAAACAAGAGCCTTGGGAGCTTATATAAACGTTGTCTACTGTTGAATGTGTTTGTGTGTGTGTGTGTGTGTGTATGGATGTATCGGAGGTCAATAATTCAGACTGTTTCCTTTTGCCCATCTTTCCTTATCAATACTGAATTAAAAAAGGAAATAATATATATTATAAATATATTTATATGTAACATAGATATCAATTTAACTATGAATAAATATTAATATATAATAAATAATAGATTGGGGCAACTTGTAGTCCTTCTGGCCTTGAGACTGAAAGAACTCAAGCTGGTTTTCTTGGTCTGCCATAATTAGGATCTCATAGAAGAGGGCCTTTGTTCTCGCTTGTGTAATGTACCTGCTCTAACTTCCAGAACTTCTCTTGAGTTAGAAGCTATTTCTTGTTTTGTCTGGATTAAAAATAGCCAAGTGCTTCTTTGACCTCTTTCTCACATGCAAATTTTTCACGCAAATATTTGATTTTTGTTGTTGTTGTCTGTTGTTGTTGTTACTCAAAGAGGCTGAGATCTGAGGATTGCAGTTTGAAGCCAGCCCAGGCAGGAAGGTCCTTGAGGTTAGTATCTCCAGTGAACCACCAAAAAAGCTGGAAGTAGCGCTCTGGCTCAAGTGGTAGAACCACCAGCCTTGAATCAAAAAGCTCAGGGACAGCACTCAGGCCCAGAGTTTAAGTTGTACTACCAGCACACACACACACACACACACACACACACACACACACACACACACACACACACACACGTCTCAAAAAACAGTCACATTCTGAGGACCTAAACATTAGAAATTCATAGAAATTAGAGGAAGGATGGGGTGCAATGCAGCTCCTAATAAACCATTTCCAAGTAACTTTCTGTACTAAGGCCATCTTGAGAATATCCCTTCTGTTATGAACTACAAGTCTGAAATGTAGTTTCCCCAGCTAAGTGAGAGGAAGTGCAAATCACATCCTCCCAATGGTGCCTACCTCCATGTCCACTGGTGCATCTTGGGTAAGCTTTGAGTGAGACATGGAAGTGAACAATTAACTTCCCTTTGACTTATGTTAAGGCTTTATTTTACCTATGCAGACTAAGCACCATGAGTACATACAGATGCTCGTGTATTGTTCTCATTTTTCTTGTGTGTGCTGGTCCTGAGGCTTGAACTCAGGGATTGGACCCTGTACCTTAGCTTTTGCACTCGAGGCTAGCTACTCTGCTACCTGAGCCACAGCTCCACTTCCTGCTTTTTGATCCCTAATTGGAGATATGAGTCTCATAACCTTTTCTGTCCAGGCTGGTTTCGAATTGCAATCCTCAGATCTCAGCCTCCTGAGTAGCTAGGATTACAGGTGTGAGCTAAATGGCTACCTATTAGATATTTTTTCTTCATGTACGTTGTGGATACTTTTATTACAACAAATGAGGAAAGATACTTTTTCTAAGAAATGAATAGTATGGCACTTTTGTAACGACATACATGTGTAAATATAGAGAGAAAAAGAAAAGTCTGCCAAATGTTTCCATACGTTCTTTGGAAGTGTAGCCCAGAGATAAGAAAGATTTTAATGGCAGGAAGTTGATGATGTGTATGAGGCTGGCAATAGGAAAAGCATTTGTGAGCAGTCTTGGAAAGAGGTTTGAAAGCACATGTTTATCAGAGATCTAATAACGTTTATCCAGAAGTTCCCAAAATTGATGAGTTTCCGGGCCATGTTTACCATTCTTTTTTTTCTTTTTTTTTGGTTGTGGGGCTTGAACTCTGGGCTTGAGTGCTGTCCCTGCGCTCTTCAGCTCAAGGCAAGCGCTCTACCACATGAGCCACAGCGCCACTTCCCATTTTTACCCTTCTTTGAAGCCTGTTAGTCCTGAATGATAAATCACTGAGGGACTTATTAAATCAGAACTAAGTAATAAAAATGAAAGAAGGCAGACTTATAAATAATATGCATTTTTGACTCTGATTAGTAATAGGATGTATTTTTTCAAATCTTACAGTTTATTCATAGGCAAACTAAGGAAAACTCTGAGCATAGTTCAGCTGATATAGATAGAATGTTTCCAAAATACAGATTCATATAAAACACAGTTAAAGCCATTTCCTCCCTCCCTCCCTCCCTCCTTCCCTCCCTCCCTCCTTCCTTCCTTCCTTCTTTCCTTCCGTCCTTCCTTCCTTCCTTCCTTGTTTCTTTCCTTGTTTCTTGTTCACTAGTATTGGGGCTTGTCCCAGAGCTTTTTTAAGAGCTCAAGGCTGATGTTCTAACCTTTGACCCACACCTCCACTTTTGGCTTTTTGGTGCTTGGTTGGCGATAAGAGTCTTTCCTGTGCTGGCTGGCTTTGAACCTTGATCCACAGATCTCAGCCTCCAGACTAGTTAGGATGACAGGTGTGAGCCACTGGTCCCTGGCTTAATCTAACTGGCAAAACAATTAAATATTTCAAATAATTTGTTTCTCTGAGCTCTCCTTTTCTTTTGGCTTTGAAGTTTTGGGTAAGTAGGATATTCCTAAGCAGGTGTCTGCTTTGGTAATGCCTCTTACTTGTCCAACAAATAGCTTCTCTTTCTTTTCTTTCTTTTTTGTCTGAGACTGGGATTTGAACTCGGTATCTGATACTTTCACTTATTAGCTGGCACTCTACCACCTGAGCCATGCCCCCCCAACCCCACAAATAGTGTTTCTTTCTGAACTTAAGATCTACTAAATGGAAAATCTAATATGTTTTCCTTCAGGAAAGCTGTATGTTATTTTAGTCCATTGACTTGAGTGCTTGGGTGAAATCCCCTGCTATCTAGTAATGGTAGAAATCATTTCATTTTGGAAAAAACACATGATACTTTTTCTCAGTTGTACAGACTTAGCACCTTTGCGTAGAAGACCGAGAATAAAACTTGTGACCTCTAAAGTTTGGGCTGGAGGCCTGGCTTAAGCAGTAAGCGCCTACCTAAGCAAGCACACCCCAGTAGAACAACCACAATAAGAAAGTGCTCCCCTCTGCTCCCCCTCCTCCCCATACTGGGACTTGAACTCAGGGCCTTGAGCTTTTGCATTTTCATTCAAGACTGGAGCTCTACCACTTGAACCACCACTTGCAAAAGACCTAGCCTGACTTCCTGCCAAGCCCTCGCCCATTCTGTGTGTTCAGGTCACCTTTCCCTGAGCATGAGAAGTGCCCCAGCCAGAGGCATGGTGGGGCCTGGGCGCCATTCCTCTGCCTTACCTTTAGGGCCTATTTTAGATGTCCCTCACCCCCAATAACCAGTTGTCTCTCTACTTCCGTTCCTGACACAGCCCTAGGACAGCGATCTTTCTTTTATGTATAGGATCTGTTGTGTGACCCCTGGTAGATGTCTGAAACAGAAAACAGTGCGCCTTCCTTCCCTCCCTCTCCCTCCCACCCTCTCTCCCTCTTCCTCCCTCCCTCCCTCTAGCTCTCTCTCCCTCACTCCCCCCCTCCCCCCATCTCAGAAGTGACTAAGGGGCAGATAACTTACAGCGTGATTATTTTGGACAAGGATAATTGATAGGCCCGGGCAGGATGGTGTGGGAAGGTGTGAGATTTCATCATACCACTCTGAAGGCTGTGTGATTTCACGCTTAGAAAAAAAAAAAAGTTTTTTTTCTGGAATTTTCCATCCAGTGTTTTCAGACTTCAGGGGGACCACTGGGTCACTGAAATCATGGCAAACAAAACAGTGGGTAAAGGAGGAATCACGGTGTAGCAAAAGGCTACGGGGTACGGGATCATGACCCATTTGTGGTGGGAGGCAGTGGCCCAGAAGTGGGGGTCTGTGACGTCAGGGTGTGGTGTTCATGCATAGTGTACCCCAAGGTCGGCATTCAGGAAGCGTTTGGTGGTTAGAATGGAGTCCCCGGGGCCTGGTGGGCTTTAAGTTTCAGGAAACATCTATCCTCAAACAACATTTCCTGGTTTAAAATTTAGAGTGTAGCCAGGCACCAGTGGCCCAGGCCTGTAATCCTAGCTACTCAGGAGGCTGAGAGCTGAGGATCCTGGTTCAAAGCCAAGCTCCAGCAGGAACGACTGTGAGACTCTCATCTCTAATTAACCACCAAAGAGCTGGAAGTGGCGCTGTGGCTCAAGTGATAGAGTGCTAGCCTTAAGCTGAAGAGCTGAGGGACAGCGCCCAGGCCCAGAGTTCAGGCCCCACGACCGGACCCCCCAAAAAAAAATTAATTAAAAAAAAATACATACCTACTGCCTACTAGGTGTAAGATTTCATTTTACATTTGGGACGTGTTGGGAGATTTGATTAGGGACACAGAACCGCTTCAACTAAAATGTTTATAAATTGCTTGAAGACTATATAAATTGCTTGAAGACTAATTGCTTGAGAAAAGACAATAAAATTGCTGCTCATCTTGCAGTGAGAGAATGTCATGAATTCAGTATTGGTATGAAATCTCAGGGAAAAATTGGAGAGAAATCTGGTGCCTACAGTGGTTACTGGTTTAGATAATGTTCAGTACTGCCTTGGTTTCAGAATGGTTTGGGCCTTGGGTGACAATTACAACCAAAAATCATCCCTTAAAACAAGTAAAAACCAACTGGTTTTTAAGAACTTGGGGACGATAAAAGGTGTATTTAATTGACCTCTTACCATCTAGTTCCTGATTTTTGTGTCATTGGTCAGGAAATGACGAGTACAGCCATTTTTCCCCCTCCATTTCAGAAGCTGGTAGATGAAATCTCAGTTGGTTCTTTTGACAATGTTTGAAAGGTTTTGTTTTTTGTTTTTTGTTTTTTTTCTTCTCATTTGACACGCAGCAAGGACATATGGGCGGAGGAGAGGTAACATTATTGCTTTTAATTTTTCAATGTGTCACTTGTATGGGGATCACTCAAACTTGCTAGCCTGTGTGGCGGGGAGGGGGGAGGGGAAGGGGAAGAGTAATTCCTGTGTTATCCTGAACATCTTAGACCTCATTGGAGAGAGTTATGAGCTTGTCATAAATTACTAAAATGTGGGATTTAAAGTCAAATAATTTCCCTCTGTTATATTAGATATTTGACTTACTTATAGCTAAACATTGGCCTCCCCCCTTTTTTTTCTTTCTGAAAAATAATTTCATAGGCAAAAAATATTAAAGAGCTTCAAAAGGGAGATAGACTTACTCTGATCTCAAAATGCCTCATTATCTTGGAGGCTTAGTTATAATTACTTTCTGCTAACTTGTTTTACTGAGACACATAATACATTTGATGGAAACTAAGGTGAGTCAAACAAATAACTCGTCTTATATCCCTTTCAAATATAAGGGAGGAAACTCTCCAAAGGCTAAGGAATTTTAGAGATTCATTCCCTAAAGTGCCAGAATAAACCTTTTTGTTCATTTGCTTTATTTATTTATTTTTATGCCAGTACTGGGACTTGATCTGAAGGCTTCCTGCTCTCATTTGGCTTTTTGCTCAAGGTTGATGCTCTACCACATGAGCCACCCTCCACTTCAGGCTTTTTGCTGGTTAATGAGATATTAGAGTCTCACAGACTCTTTTTTTTTTGTCGGTCGTGGGGCTTGAACTCTGGGCCTGGGCGCTGTCCCTCAGCTCTTCAGCTCAAGGCGAGCACTCTACCACTTGAGCTACAGCACCACTTCCGGTTTTCTGGTGGTTTATTGGAGATAGGAGTCTCACGGTCTCTTCTGCCCGGGCTGGCTTTGAACCGCGATTCTCAGATCTCAGCCTCCTGAGTAGCTAGGATTACAGGCCTGAGCCACCAGCGCCCGGCTTTCACAGACTCTTATATCTAAATGAGACCCGCCTCTTGAGTAGCTAGAATTACAGGTATGAGTCACCAGTGCCTGGCTGCTTTTTTAAAAACTATAAATTAATTACTATTTTTTTTAACCATCTGTAATCGTTTGCCATTTTATTTAAAAAAAAAAAAAGACATTTTAAGTAGCCTAGATTTTTTTTTTCTAAAGATCATTCCGATAGTCACCTTCAATTTTGTAATCACGTTTGCTTGCATTTGCCATGTGGTTATTATAAGGATAAATTTGTAACAATGATGCTATTGTTCTTTGTGTTTAGTAATGAGAGTTAAAGGCAAATATGCCAACAGAAAGATGTTGACGTGATCCAAGAGTGGAAAACACTGGAGACAGATTTCTGTAGCGGATCCATGAACGAATTCCTTATGTAGTACTGAGCAGTAACAGTACTTTAACAAGAGTTTTGCATGAGTTGGGAAGGTGGCTCAGTGGTAGAGTGCTTGCCTAGCATGCATGAAGCCCTGGGTTCAATTCCTCAGTACCACAGACACAGAAAAAGCCCGAAGTGGCGCTGTGGCCCAAGTGGTAGAGCGCTAGCCTTGAGCAAAAGAAGCTCAGGGACAGCGCCCAGGCCCTGAGTTCAAGACCCAGGACTGGCAAAAAACAGGAAAAAAAAAAAAAAAAGAGTTTTGCAATTATTAGTAGCTCTGTGTTTTGCTTATGAGGTAAAATTTTCCACGTTGCCGTTAAGTAAATACACGAAGATGGTTAGTTAATACACCGAAGGCATTTCTGGTCTTTTCTCACATATTCTGGTGTTTTCAAAGATCAAATTTAATGTCTTTTTTTTTTTTTTTTTTTTTTAAACAAACAAAAGGCATCTTTGGTGAGCCCCGCTCCTCACTCTGCTAGATACGCATCTTTACTGTGCCTTTAGGCCTGTCAGTTCCCCATGGTCAGCAGTGAGTTTGGCTGTCACGGTGGGTGGGTGTAGATGACCCACCCATCAGTCAGGGCCTCCTCCAGGCCACCGTCCATCAGATCTAGTAAAGACCCTCAGAAAGGCCAGCATCGGATAACCAAACTCAACCCTCAGTGCACCCACCTCTGCCCGGGCCGGGCTTGGAGGTGATGGGAACTAAGTGATCCCATCCCCTCCCAGCCGGTGAGGCAGGTCAGAGCCAGCAGCCCCGCTGGGCCCCGGCCGGCCGGCCAGGCCTCTGGGTGCACCTGCTGGTAGCCGCCCGCCCTGCTTTTCTCTTTCAGGTCAGTCCTCGCTGTTTCCCATGGAGGATGGGTTCCTGGACGATGGCCGCGGGGACCAGCCTCTGCCCAGCGGCCTGGGATCGCCGCACTGCTTCCCCCACCAGAACGGGGAACGGGTGGAGCGCTACTCCCGCAAGGTGTTCGTGGGCGGGCTGCCTCCCGACATCGATGAAGGTACGTGGGGAGAGAGGCCCGGGCAGGGCCCGGAGGCCTGCTTCGTTCTTGGACTGAAAAGAACTGACAGTGAAAACAGACTGAAAAGCTGGGATGGAGTGCTCGCCTAGCAGGCATGAAAGCCCCGGGTTCCATTCCTCAGGACCACATACGCAGACAAAGCCAGGAGTGCCGTGGCTCAAGTGGTAGAGCGCCAGCCTTGAGCCAAAGAAGCTCAGGGACGGTGCCCAGGCCCTGAGTTCAAGCCCCAGCACTGGCAAAAACAAAACAAAACAACTTAGAGCAGGGTGCCACCCAGAGTGGCTTGTCACCCCAACTACAGCCCCCGCTGGTTCCTGGTATTCAGTCATCACGATATGGCTCTCGTGTCCCCTCTGCCTGTCTTTTGAATAAAAGAGAGGAAGTGAGCACGGCTGTGGGAATCAGCCCAAGGAGGAAACTTCCCAAGGATCTGTCATTGTGAACAAAAGATTGCTTTACAAAAAACAAACAACAACAAAATCCATGTGTGTGTGTGTGTGTGTGTGTGTGTGTGTGTGTAAGAGAGAGAGAGAGAGAGAGAGAGGGAGGGAGGGAGGGAGGGAGGAGGTGGTTCTTGGGCTTGAACTCAGGACCTCGGCACTGTCTTTGAGCTGTTTTTACTCAAGATTTGTGCTCTACTACTTGAGCCCCAGCTCCACTTCCAGCTTTTTTGGTAATTTATTGGAGATGGAGTCTCTGACTTTCTTTCTTGCCCAGGCTGGCTTCGAGCTGAGATCCTCAGATCTCAGCCTCCTGAGTAACTAGGATGACAGACGTGAGCCACCAGCTCGAGGCTCAACCGTTTTTTTTCCCCCTATCTATGTTGCCTTGCCAAAGTCGATTGTTTCTTTATCTTTCCTATCTTCTGTGAATACTTTGTAACTGTACGTAGTTCATGGTTTCAACATATAACATCTTTTTTTTTTTTTTTTGGTGCCATTACTGGAGCTTGTTAAGACCTCACACTCTTTCTTAGCTCTTTTTTTTTTTTTTTGCTCAAGGATGGTCCTCTACCACTTGAGCCACAGCTCCACTTCTAATTTTTGCTTGTTAGTTGGACATGAGTCTCATGGGCTTTCCTCTCCAGGCTGGCTTTGAACTACCATTCTCATATCTTTGCCTCCAGAGTAGCTAGGATTACAGGCAAATTTTGTGCTTGGCAAAATTTAAAATCTTTTAAGCATGAATGTTTGAGAAATGTGGAACCTAGTCGTATTTCAAGAAAGGGAATCTTGGGGTAGAGGTGGTAAAATGCCTGCATAGCAAGCACAAAGCCCTGAGTTCAAACCCAGGAAGAGGAGGAGGGGGAGGGAGGCGGGAGGGGGAGGGGAAGGGGTGGGGGGAGGGGGAAGGGAAGGAGAAGAAAGAGGTGGTGATTGTAACATTCTGTGATTATTTTTCTCTTGCATTCAGCAAATATTTACCTGCTTTCTAAGCAGTGTGTTCTTCTTCCTTGGCTGTTTTTAGTAATAAGCAAGATAGAAAATCCTTGCTTCTGTAGAGTTTATGTTCTCCTGGAGTTAGGCCCATAGAAATGTATAAACCAGCCGGGCACTGGTGGCTTGTGCCTTTAACCCCAGCTACTCAGGAGACTGAGATCTGAGGATTGTACTTCAAAGCCAGCCTGGGCAGGAAAGTCCATGAGATTCTTATCTCCAATGAGCCACCAGAAAATTGAAATTGGAGCTGTGGTTCAAAGTGGTAGAGTGCCTAGCCTTAAGTAAAAAGAGTTCAATGACAGCTCCCAGAACCTGAGTTCAAGCCCTGCCAACCAAAAAAAAAAAAGCCTAATGTGATAAAACATCAGAGAATAAGTATTGAAAAGCCAATGGGGAGGTGATCTAGCAGGGGTAGTTAAGGAAAGCTTGCCATAGAAATGATATCTGAGCTCACGCCTGCCATCCTAGCCTCTCAGGAGGCTGATGAACATCATGGCTCAAAGCCAGCCTAGGCTGGCAAGCTCATGAGATTCTTTTTTTTTTTTTTTTTGGGTCCGGTCGTGGGGCCTGAACTCTGGGCCTGGGCGCTGTCCCTCAGCTCTTCAGCTCAAGGCTAGAGCTCTACCACTTGAGCTACAGCACCACTTCCGGCTTTTTTCTTTTTGCTTATGTGGTGCTGAGGAATCGAACCCAGGGCCTCGAGCATGCAAGGCAAGCGCTCTACCGCTGAGCCACCTTCCCAGCCTGCTCATGAGATTCTTGTCTCCAATGAACCACCAGGAACCTGAAAGTGGAGTTGTGGTTCAAGTGGCAAAGCCCTAGCCTTGAGCAAAAATGCTAAGGAACAGTACCCAGGCCCTGAGTTCAAGCCTCAGGAGTGGCACATACACACATTAAAAAAAAAAATCATTCCAGGTGCCAGTGGCTCAAGCCTGTCATCCTAGCTACTCAGGAGGCTGAGATCTGAGGATCCCGGTTCAAAGCCAGCCCGGGCAGAAAAGTCCGTGAGACTCTTATCTCCAATTAACCACCAGAAAACCGGAAGTGGCGCTGTGGCTCAAGTGGTAGAGCGCTCGCCTTGAGCTGAAGAGCTGAGGGACAGCACACAGGCCCAGAGTTCAAGCCCCATGACCAACCCCCCCCCCCCAAAAAAAAAAAAATCACAGTAGAAGGCCATATGTTTCTTCCTTTTTTTTTTTTGTCTTTATTTCCTAAATGGGAATAAAAACCAATTCACAATATGGACAGTAGAACAGATTTCCCTAAAAGCTGGTAAGGTACAATAATAAAGTTTAAAGACTCAGTTTTTAGGATCCCTCTTCATATTTTACTTCATAAATAATCTTTTGAAACGTTGAAACAGAAATGGTTTTAAAAATCCAAATATTGAAATACCCCTTTTCCTTCCACAAAAATAAAATATCTTGGTGAAAACTGTGCCGAAACACCAGGTTTGTCTGAACCAATCTTTATCCTGTTTTAGGAATCCACAGCTTGCAGTTCAAGTTTTGTTTGGAGGAATTGTGTAGTAAATTACAGGATTTGCAGAGGGAAATAGGATCAGAGGCCAAGACTTTGTATCTGAAACACAAACAAAACAAAGAGCATTGGGCCAGGCTACTTATGGCCCACGCCTATCATCCTAGCTCCTCAGGAGGCTGAGGTGTGAGGATCGTGGTTCAAAGCCAGCCAGGGCAAAAAGGCCTCTGAGATTCTTCTCTCCACTTAACAAGACCACGCTGTGCCTGGGCTTTCCCAGGGTTGGGAAACATGGCAGAGGCACCAGCCACAGTCCAGACCCGGTCAGTTTGGGCTACTGTGACAAAATGCCTTAGACTGATTAAGCTAGCTTAGAAGCAATAAAAATTGTGCATGGTTCTGCACGTGAAGTTCCAGGTTAAAGGCACGAACTACTTACGCACCTGCTTCCCGGTAACCACCATCTTCTCATGGAAGCTACAGGGAGAGTCTCCCCAGGCCTCTTTGGTGGTGATGACCCTACCCCTACCTGCCTTTGACCTCCTGCCCAGGACTCCGCCTCCAGATGATGTCACCGTGGGGGATTTGAGGGAGGGGTCAGACGTAGTGAAATGACTATGGAAGGCAGGGAAGAATTGGGGTGGCTGGCGATTTAAACAGCCTCTGTGCATCCAGTCATGTTGTTAATTTCCAGATCGAGAGAACTGGATGTGGGACATAACCAGGAAGTGGCCTTGATTTGAGAAAATGTCAATTTGGGGGAGGGAGAGAGCATTCAAGGTCATGGAGTCAGGAAGATGCTGGCTGGCTGGCTGGCTGGCTGGCTAGAGTGATTCACGCAAACATGCATACACCAGAGCGAGCAAGGGAGGGAGAAATTAGGCAGGTGTGCCAATGAGTAGCAGCTGAGGAATGTAGATGAAGGAAATTCAGGAATTTCAGTGTTTTTGAAGATGACAAATTTGAAATTGCGTGTGTGTGTGTGTGTGTGTGTGTGTGTGTGAGAGAGAGAGAGAGAGACAGACAGACAGACAGACAAAGAGAGACAGAGAGAGAGTACTAGGGCTTGAACTCAGGACTTGGGCTCTGCCCCTTAGCTTTTAGGCTCAAGGGTGGCACTCCACCACTTGAGCCACACCTCCACTTACGGCTTTTTGCTGGCTAATTGGAGAGAAGAACCTCATGGACTTTTCTGTCCTGACTTGCACTGATCTGCGATCCTCAGCTCTCAGCCTCCTGAGTAGCTGGGATTACAGGCATGGGCCACCCGTACTGGCTTAGATTGGAAATGAACAAAAAACACCAACCAACCAACCGAAGACCTTCTCTACAAAAAAATGATCATAAACATCTTGACATCTCATTTGCTGTTTTTCTTTAGATGAGATCACCGCTAGCTTCCGTCGCTTTGGCCCTTTGATTGTGGATTGGCCTCATAAAGCTGAGAGCAAATCCTACTTTCCTCCTAAAGGTAATTCCCAAGAGCCCCACATGTAAATGGCTTTCTTCCCTGTGCTCTTTCGTCTTTAGCTTTTCCACAAATGTACATCTTCACTGCAAACATCTTTCATTCTTAAATTTATATTTTCCTAATTGTGTCTTCACATTTTCTTGTTTTGGGGGGGGTCTGGTTGTGAGGCCTGAACTCTGGGCCTGGGCGCTGTCCCTCAGCTCTTCAGCTCAAGGCGAGCGCTCTACCACTTGAGCCACAGTGCCATTTCCGGCTTTCTTCTTTTTGTTTATGTGGTGCTGAGGAACCGAACCCAGGGCCTCAGGCATGCAAGGCAAGCGCTCTACCGCTGAGCCACCTTCCCAGCCCCTATTCCTTTCCTTTCTTAGTTTTGGTTTATACAGTCTATATCCTCAAGAATGACCATAGGGATGAGGAAGCTCATGAAGCTTTTGGCTTTTCCTTTAGGCTATGCATTCCTGCTGTTTCAAGACGAGAGCTCCGTCCAGGCGCTCATCGACGCTTGCATCGAAGAGGACGGCAAGCTCTACCTGTGTGTCTCCAGCCCCACCATCAAGGACAAGCCTGTGAGTGCAGCGCGGCGTGCGCCTGGCTGCTGCATAGCCAGGCTCCTAAGTAGGATCTAAACTAAACGCTTTGGCCTTTCTGTGGATCCGCGCACCACCATTTCACCCCTAACTCTTGGAGTAGGGGAAGCCATTTTCGTATCTAAAGATGTCCTTTGAGAATGCATTTTATATTGATAAAGCTGCTGAATTTCCTGTGGAAAATGCAACTCCAGCTCACCAACCTCCGTCCTTGCTTGGACTGAAGTGTTACCCAGTGCTGTCCTTCACTTTTTTGCATATGGAGCTCTCCCAAAGTAGACCTGATTGATTCTGTGTATGGATATACACACCTATACATCCATATACACATAAACACACATATAGGCATCCATATACACATGAATTTGTGTATATGCATATAGGCCTACATACTCATTTCTATATACATAGATATGTATATATATATATGTATTATATATGTTATATATTATAAATATAATAACTTGGGCTGGGAATATGACCTAGTGGTAGCGTGCTTGCTTAGCATGCATTAAGCCCTGGGTTTCATTCCTCAGTACCACATACACGGAAAAAGCTGTGGCTCGAGTGGTAGAATGCTAACCTTGAGCAAAAGAAACTGAAGGGACAGTGCGTAGTCCCTGAGTTCAAGCCCCAGAACTGGCAAAAAAAAAAAAAAAAGAAAAAGCTCAGGGGCAGTGCCCAGACCTTGACTTCAAGCTCCACAACTGACAATAAACCCCCAAACTTACAAGTATAATATATAATAATGTTTTATATATTGTATATTATGTGTGTGTGTGTGTGTGTGTATGTGTGTGTTTTGGATCGTTTGATCAGGAACATTCTTCTAAGACGTTTTGTGACCTTCTTGCCACCACTCATTTTATCTAGTAGATACTCTATGCCACGTTGTTTAGGTCACTCAGTGGCATATCTCTGATTTTTAGTATATCATTGGTATGTGTATTTTGGAATACCTGGCTTAACTTTGGTATGGACATTTATAACATTTTTGTTTTCTTTTTGTGCCAGTCTTGGGCTTGAACTCAAGGCCTGGGTGCTGTCCCTAAACTATTTTGCTCAAGGCTAGCATACTACCACTTAAGCCACAGCTCCACTTATAGCTTTCTAGTCATTGGAGATAAGAGTCCCATAGACTTTCCTGTCCAGGCTGGCTTTGAACCATGATCCTTAGATCTCAGCCTCTTGAGTAGCTAGAATTATAGGTATTAGCTAGAATTACCAGCACCAGGGGCTGGGAAAGTGGCTTAGTCGTAGGATGCTTGCCTTGCATGCATGAGGCCCTGGGTTCAATTCCTCAGCACCACATAAGCAGAAAAAGCTGGAAGTGGTCCTGTGGCCCAAAGTGGTAGAGCACTAGCCTTGAGCTGAAGAGCTGAGGGACAGCGCCCAGGCCCAGAGTTCAGGCCCCATGACCAGCAAAAAAAAAAAAAAAAAATAGAATTACCAGCACCAGGGCCTGGTTTATAACAGTTAATTTTAAATTAGCAAGCAATTTTAAAAAAGGTACCTGACTCTGGTATTCTATTATTTTATTCATTTTTAATTTTAATTGTTTTGAATTATCTTCTAATAGTTGTACAAAGGGATTTCATTCAACATGCCAGTTTGGTACATGGTTCTTAATTGAGCTAATGAACACACTGAAGCATTTTATTAAAGAAAAGCTTATTAGAAATAGCAGCAATATTTTTCCTTGAAATGCTCCTTGAAAAAATACAATAGATGCTAATTTCTGTAGCACTGTAATTGTAAGTAGCGCTGACACCATGCTATACTTAAATTACAAAAATATAGGAAGGTTGGATAAACTAGAGGTCCCTGGGCCTGAAAAATAGCTAATTAACTTATAATTAAGGACCTATTCAGTGATTTTTTTTATTTTTTTCTTTCTTTCTTTTTGTCAGTCATGGAGCTTGAACTCAGGGCGTGGGCATTCATTGTCTCTGAGCTCTTCTGCTCAAGAAGAGTGCTCTGCCACTTGAGCTACAGTGCCACTTCTAGTTTGGCGGTTAATTAGAGATAAGTGTCTCACAGGCTTTCCTGCCCAGGCTGGCTTTGAACCACAATCCTCGGATCTCAGCCTCTTGAGTAGCTAAGATGTGAGCCACTAGCTCCTGACAGTAATTTGGTTTAAAGTCTTGTTTCACACCTTTATTAATTTGGTATGATATAAATTATTGCATTTAAAAGTAAAATTCTTAGCTCTGTGATGGTGGCCCATACCTATAATCCTAGCTGCTCAGGAGGTAAGGCTGAGATCTGGAGAATTATTACCATTTTTTTTTCCCCTCCAGAATCCATCTCCAAAATAACCAGGCTGCAGGCATGGCTTCTATGGTCAGTGAAATGCATGGATTCAAGCCCTGGTACTGAAAACAAACCAACAATATATTTTTTTGTCGGTCATGGGGCTTGAACTCTGGGCCTGAGTGCTGTCGCTCAGCTCTTCAGCTCAAGGTGAGCGCTTTACCACTTGAGCTACAGCACCACTTCCGGTTTTCTGGCGGTTTAGTGGAGATAAGAGTTTCATGGACTTACCTGCCCAGGCTGGCTTTGAACCACAATCCTCAGATCTCAGCCTCCCGAGTAGCTATGATTATAGGTATGAGCCACCGGCGCCTGACTCCAACAATAATTTTAAACATTTAAAAATGGTTTAATCTGAAACTTGTTGATTTACATCCTCTGTAGGTGCAGATTCGGCCCTGGAATCTGAGCGACAGTGACTTTGTGATGGATGGTTCACAGCCACTTGACCCAAGAAAAACAATATTTGTGGGTGGCGTTCCTCGACCCCTACGAGCTGGTAAGATCAAACAAATACTCTTTAATACTCTAGCATCTGAAATGCAAAGAGCAGGGACTGGGAAGGTGGCTCAGTGGTAGGGTGCTCACCTAGCATGCATGAAGCCCTGGGTTTGATTCCTCAGTACCACAGACACAGAAAGAAACAGAAGTGGCGCTGTGGTTCAAGTGGTAGAGTGCTAGCCTTGAGCACAAAGAAGCTCAGGGACAGTGCCCAGGCCCTAAGTTCAAGCCCCAGGACTGGCAAAAAAAAAAGAAAGACCTTCAAGGATAAATGCATAAACATTTAAGCTGCATAAACATTTGAGCTGGGTGTTGGTGGCTCACACCTGTCATCCTAGCTACTCGGGAGGCTGAAATTTGAGGATTACAGTTTAAAGCCAGCCCCAGCAGGAAGGTCTTATGGGACTCTTATTTCTAACTAAGAAATGGTGAGAAAACCAGAAGTGGAGCTGAGGCTCAAAGTGGTAGAGCACTAGCCTTGAGCAAAAATACTCAGGGACAGTGCCCAGGCCCTGAGTTCAAACCCCAGGTCTGGCATAAAAAGAAAGAAAAGAAAAAAGTACATTGTAAAGCAGCTAGCTCATAGTTAAAAAATTAAGATTGGACCCTGTAATTCTAGCACACCTGGAATCCTGTAATTCTAGCTACATAGGAGGAGATCCAGACGACTGAAAATTGTCAAGCCAGATTCCATCTCCATAATAGCCAACAAAAAGGAAGGCTGGAGTTGTGGTTCAAGCAGTAGAGCACATGTCAAGGAAGCAAGCCCAGCCAGTGTGAGGCCAAGTTCTAACCCTAATACTGGTAAAGGAAGGAAGATTGGAAACAAGGAAGGAAGGAGGGAAGGAAGGAAGGGCAGACAGGCAGGCAAAAAATTAACCTAATGTTAAGTTGACATCAACCTAATGTAGGAATGAGTTCGATTTTGAGAATTACTTTACTGAACCGCCTTTGATGAAGCCATCAGTGTGAGCTGGCTGACTTTGGCCCATCTCAACTTCCACCTTTTCCCCTGGCCTGTTTAGTGGAGCTCGCGATGATCATGGACCGGCTGTATGGCGGCGTCTGCTACGCCGGCATCGACACAGACCCTGAGCTCAAGTACCCCAAAGGAGCTGGGCGAGTTGCCTTCTCTAACCAACAGAGCTACATAGCTGCTATTAGCGCCCGCTTTGTTCAGCTGCAGCATGGAGAGATAGATAAACGGGTAAGTGACTCCTAGACCGCATTCTGGAAACTTCTAGAACTTTCCACCCATGATACTGACATATCTCAGAAGTAAGATTAGAATGGTAATTTTTTTTTTTAATGTGATCATAAATCCACAGCTAACAATTGGGTTGGGGTGGTGGGGCGGGGGAGGAAGGGGGATCAATATTCTATCTAAGAATTTCCTTTGAATTTCTGCTGTCTTGTGTTTTTGTTCTGGGAACACTGTGATCAGTTTTGTTTTATTTTTTTTTTTTGGGTCCGGTCGTGAGGCCTGAACTCTGGGCCTGGGCGCTGTCCCTCAGCTCTTCAGCTCAAGGCTAGCGCTCTACCACTTGAGCCACAGCGCCACTTCCGGCTTTTTTCTTTTTGCTTATGTGGTGCTGAGGAATCGAACCCAGGGCCTCAAGCATGCAAGGCAAGCACTCTACCACTGAGCCACCTTCCCAGCCCCTGTGATCAGTGTTTTTGAGTTTAATCATTCATTAATCATTTTGAGTTTAGTCATTCATTCACTCATTCGTTTAATATAGATTTATGGGATAACTTGTTCTATGTCAGGTTGTGAATATGAATGTACTTGACACACCCTGACCTTGTTTTTGTTTTGTTCTGTTTTGAAATCTTGGGAAGACATAAATATCTCTCAGTGAGCCCTATTATTTTTTAATTCACTATGATAATGTAATATATAGTTGAGTGAATTTAATTCTAGTACTATCCCTCAGAAACTTTAATGATAGCAGATTAGATAGTAGAAAAAAATCATCTTTTTATTTGTAGTCTGTTTCTCTGAAATCAGCTGATAGCTAATATTTTTAGCAATTAAATAAAATTCCTCATAGGGGGCCAGTGGCTCACGCCTGTCATCCTAGCTACTCAGGAGGCTGA